CGCGCGAATAACCCTCATTTTTCTCTGCGAGGAAGAACTTGTAGGCATGGATAACCATACCAATCTGCTCGTCGCTAAGTTTCCGTCCCTGAGCCATCCTGGAAGTGAAAGGTGACGACTGAGTTGATTTGTTAATGAACGAGTGGACGATAAGGATTCGTTTGTGGGGCTGGGTAGCTTTGTCTGCCACGAACTGCGAGTTACAGCCAAACTCTAGTGGTGTTACAATTCTTGGTCCGAAGTATTATGGCGGGTACAATAGGCTGAAAACTGCACGGAGCACGCACACAAAACTCCTTAGATTTGTCACAAAGGTTGCTGACCCTCGCCTCGTGAAACCCACTGATTTCACACATTCGAATAAAAGCAACGAGGACCAGAGATGGTTGGCCGACGCAAAACGCGTCGCGAGTCAGAAGCCTTCCTCACCCGCCTGGAAGGCAAAAGCTCGGAGGATTGGGTGCGCTTGACTGCCCAACACACAGCATACCTGAACGGAGAGAGGGAGACGGATGTTGACTTCGGGAACGAGGCCGCGGGGGCAACGCAGACGACTACGGTGGCCGCGCCGACGACGAAGGTAAGGCAGACGACGACGGCTGTGACTCGTGGGCAATCCATTCCGGCGCTTCCGAGCCGACCACCTGTTGGAAATACGGCGTCGTACATTGCAGCGGCAAAGAAGCTGCGGGCAGCGCGTCTCGCAATTAAGGCCAACGCGGAGAAAAAAACTGGAAAGGGGAAGAAGAAGATGACGAAGGCCCAGCGCGAAGCTTTGGCGAAGGAAAGGAACGCGTTTAAAGAAATGGAAGCTGAAGCCCGTGTGGAGTCTATATCTGCACGACGTGATGCCGAGAAAGCAAGGGAACGTGCGCACGTGGTCGACGAAGAACGCAGCGGGGCTGAAGCGCGCCAAGCAGCGCTGAAAGCACTAGCAGCAGCAGGAATCGTCAAAGTCTCCCGCAGCGAAGAAGCAGAAGAAACCCGCCAGTCCGCACCTTGCTAAACCAGTTGAGGATTCATATGCAGACGACGCGAGTATGCTGTCTGCATCAAAGTACGTGATACTCGACATGCTGAATATACTACATGCACTAATTGTGCTCATGTTGTACCTGATGTTATGTTGTTTCAGACCACCACCAATACCAGTCGAAGCCACAGCACTGCCTCCAACCAGACGTCAAACGGCCAGGTAGCTTCTGCGATGATATATATACTGCATGTGTGAGCGCATAGAAGATGTATATTGACGCGTGATGTGAACTACTTTGGGACAGGGTTTTGAGTATGGATACGACTGAGCCACTCACGTCTTCCGCTCCAGCTATGAATGCATCCGCTGAAGATTATGATAATGGAGCTCTCAACTCGGACTTGGATGGCGAAGGCGAAGATTCGGATGACTGGTATATTGAGGAGCAGGACTTGTCTGCAAAGCACACGGACGATGCCCACAGAGGAACAGATGCTGAGAACGACCTGCTCAGCGAAGATGCAGATGAAATTCTTTCAAGTGATAGTGATGGTAGTTTGAACGGTGCAGAGCTCCTTAATCGGGACAAGAGGAAAGCCCAAAGAGAGCTGGAGAAGCGACGTCTGCAGGCAGCTATCGGCAAGCTGCGACGTGACTGGAACACAACCACAAACAATTGGAGCACGCTGACAAAATACGAGATGCAAGCGCTCGCGCACGGTGATGAAGCTCTGAAGAAGATGCGAGTGGACGGCTGGGAGTTTGGTAAGGTTTGTGAGATGATATATATACAACATGAAACTAATGTGGTATATGTTGTATGATGTCTAGATACCGCATTACATCATGAACGAGCAGAACCATACCCGAGCCTGTACAGTGGTGACAATGGACCAACCGAGGCAGCGATTGAAGTAGCTGAGTCCCCGTTACAACTCTTCTTCTTCTTCATGCCTCGTCGGCTTTGGCGCCGGATAGCTACTGAGAGTAATCGATACTATCATCAGCATCTCAACGGATGGGTCGACAGAATATATGCGAAGCGAGTGGCTGATGATGCAGAGTTGACTACGGAAGCTGTGATGTTGCGGGAGACCAAGAAACACAAGGACATAAAGCCAGAGGACATTGTGCATTGCATCGGGCTCCTTATCGCGAGGATGTTGGTCCCTCACAAGCGCCGTTTTGCGGATCACTGGGGAACGACCCCGGTAGGCGCTGTCCCAAAAGGCACTTTGGCGACTTCGTGGGGAAGTCGCGCTTTGAGCGCATCATGCAAAACCTGCATTTTACCGACAACACGGACCCGAGAGCTGAAACGGACCGCGCCTGGAAAGTCCGCTCCGTAGTGGACACGCTACAGCAGACGTTCGCAAGGGGATACAACGTTCCTCCCGGTGTATCGTTCGACGAGGCCATGATTCCATCAAGAAGTCGTCACAACGTGACCAGGCAATTTATGAAGGACAAGCCCCACAAATGGGGCCCAAAACTGTTTATGACATGCTGTGCTGACACAGCGTATTGTCTACGGTACGTAGCCCGACGGCCTCTATCGTGGAGTATTTTGTTTTGGCTAAGTCTCACATGTTGTATTTGTCTACCTCTGTATTGTTGGGAATGTTGTATTGTGCTGCATCATAGTCTGAAAGTATTTTGTGGAACTAACCAGCACCCAGACGAGCTCGGAGGTCAATCAACGACCCTATTTTCAGCAGACCCGAACTCTGGCCCTGCAGCGGTTATCCGTAATCTGCATGAAGTTCTTCCTGCCCCAGAAGAAGGTGTCTACCACGCTGTGGTGACGGATCGCTTCTATACGTCGATCCAGATAGCTTTGCAGCTCCTGGCTCGGAATGTATACACGGTTGGCACTATACAGCCAAACAAGAAAGGGTTTCCGCCAGCCCTAGTGACCAAAGCAGCAACTCGTCCAGCTCATATTCCCCGCGGGACCAGCACGATCGCCGTCGCAAAGGGCTGTGATCTTCTACAGGGAATGCTTTGGTGGGACCGCCTTCCTGTCTAACTTCTCTCGACGGGCAGCAGTACATCTATTGAAACCTGCGGTAAGTTACTTTTGGGTCGTGTCTTAGTGATGACGGCTTCCTAACTTATGCTGCTGTTGTTGTACCATCAAAGGGCGGCAACTACGTGGCTGCAGAAAAGAAATCATACCCTGACCATCAGCGATGCGCGACTATCATCGCTGGATGGGCGGGGTTGATATCCACGACCAGCTAAGGCTACAGCGCTATTCGCTGCAACTCTCGGTGCGCTTTCGAAAGTACTACAAGACGTTCTTCTTAGGCCTAGTCGACATGGCACTCGTGAATGCCTATATCATTTTTCGTGAGGCTCGGAAAATGGTTGGTGAAGGTGCTGATCATGCCGGGTTTTTAGCAGAGTTACAGGCGCAGCTTTTGCAGGTCACTTCGGCTGACTTTATTGATGAGGTATATACTACATGTTTGCCGGCGATCATGTGGTAGATGTTGTATCGTATCTGACTCGTTTATTATCATGCAGACATTTTCACCAGCACCTTCCGACCAAAATGTGGCCTCGATATCGGCTGCCCACAAATTGACCGAGTTTCCAGAGTGGACCCAGATCCGGGAAGGTGTTTGGAAGAGGCCACAGCACCAGTGCAAGGTTTGCTCGATTCGCAAGCAGAAGGTCGGCCAGCGCAGTGTAACGCGGTTCTATTGCGAGGCATGCAGCGACGGCAACAAGTAGTAAGTGTGACAGTGGCTTATGCAATCGTACTTTAGCTAATTGTGCTTCTTCATGCACAGTGTCTACCTCTGTGCCCGAGTCCGGCCGGGCCACTACCCAGGCAACACCATGACATGCCACCAAATCTGGCATGTCATGTGGAAGAACGGAAAGGAGCGGCCTCACCCTCGTGTTGGTCGTGGAATCCAGATGCGCAACCCGGCAAAGAAGCGCCGACGCGCCGCTAGTGATAGGGAAGAAGGCAGCGGCGCGGAGGAGTGAGGCGCTGGCAGCGGTACTGTGGAGGGGGGCGCTGGTTCCGAAGGCAGCGGCGCGGAGGAGGGAGACGCTGGCAGCGGTACTGTAGGGGGGGCGCCGATTCCGACACTGATGTCGGCGCTGAAGGGAGCAGTGGTGGGGAGGGATGTGCTGGAGAGGACGATAGCGAGTAAGAGTGGGCTTGTCGATGAATACCTAACCTGATTCAATATAAATGTGTTGCAATCATTGATGACTGTACACATAGCCATTGCACTTCGTACATGGCATGTTCGAGCGGACACTTTTAATATGTTGGAATCCAGTATATCCAACTTGGATATACGTCTTCTTCAAGTTTGTTGGCGCAGCGTGGGTGTCTTAGACATAGCGCTGCGAAGAAGCTCGCAATCAATGTATCACCGAGCGTCTGATCTTCCCGCAGTGCAGAAACGTATTCGTACTTACGGAGGTCAATACAAAATTCAAATTTAGCCTATTTTTTACATGTTGTATATACAACGTGTGGGGTCGTGGACAGGGGCCAAAAATAGCCGTAAGTGCGGGGGGTAAGTATGTAAGCAAGCGGTCATCAGGAGACCCTTTCAACCACTTTATGTAGAGGGAATTACTAATTGGGTATAGAGGATCCTCTGTATCGTAATTCGATTCAAAGATCTTATGTAAATAGGCAATGATAGGTAGTCAGACCATCAAGGATAATTATAATAATCGGGGATAAGCAACAAGAACGTGACAATGATTGCCACAATCAATTTCTGCAAATGTACCGTAATAGCTGTCGATTTTCAGTGCATGTCCTTGTTCATTTTCAGTTGTTTTCCTCGGCCCCCAAGACAACAACGGAATGCGCTGTTTTGTGTTGTTATTTATCACGTGCGTGGGGCTTGCATCGATCAAGGCCACTCTCACTACAGTCGACATCAACTGCAGTGGCCCCACTGCTCACACAGTGCCCCCACCAGGAGCCATTGTGATCGATATCACCGGTGTCTACAATGGAAGCTATCAAACTATGGCCGAGGGTATGGCGTACCTGCCCAACACGACGGTAGAGCATACGATATTCGTGTTCCCGGGCGTATACCAAGAGCAAGTGCTGATCCCAAAATTGGCAGGCCCGTTGGTGGTCCAGGGCTACACGTGTGATACGACATCGTACAGCAACAACACAGTGACGATAACACACACGATGGCTCAGAGAGATCTCCCGCTCGAGATTAAGAATGGACGCAACGATTTGATCAGTACGATGCGTCTGAAGTCGCGCAGTGGTGTGAAGATCTACAACATGAATGTCGCTAATCCAGCCGGCCCGATCGATCATCTTGGACAGGCGGTGGCTGTTTACGTCGATGCAACGAACTATGGTTTCTACGGCTGCAATTTTACGGGTTACCAGGACACGCTGTGTGCACACAGGGGTCGTCAGCTCTACGCACGATCATTTATCAGTGGAGCTGTTGACTTCATTTTTGGAATGCGAGCGAAGGCTTGGTTTGAGTCTTGCGATATTGAGAGTATCGGAGAAGGCTACATCACCGCCAACGGTAACATCAACAGCACTATCGAATCTCAGTACGTTTTAACCGTGCGCGAGTACTTGGTTCGAGTGGAAATGGATCTACGTACCTCGGGCGTCCATGGCGTCCATACGCTCGCGTTGTGTGGCAGAAGCAGCTCAGCGACGTTGCTAACCCGAAGAGATGGTCGACGTGGAACGACAACAACAACACAGCAAACGTCTACTTCAACGAGTTCAATAACAGCGGACCCGGGTCGGTAACCGGCCAGCGTGTGCCTTTCAGCGGACAATTGAGCGCTTCTGTAGCCATTACTGAAATCCTTGGTGCTACGCTCGAGTCCGAGTGGTGGATCGACACAGACTTCATTTAAGTCACAATATCGAGCGTAAAAATACAAGAATAATTGGGGAAAACTTTGGAGCTCGAGCTTAAGGACGGAAGCCTCGCCAATCGAAAACGATAAGTAATCATCACCGCCATGTCGGTAGGACGTGCAAGAAGTGTAGTAGTGCTGATGGGTATATTGCAATACGATTGCGGCAGTTCCATTACGCAGACAACCTGACAGCTCCATGTTTACTACTACGTAGTATAACGCAAAATGCATTTGGGTACACCAGATTACCCTATTTCTATATTTGGGTGAGCTCCATGTTTTCCCAAATAATTGCGTGCAATTTCTGCAGTTCGGCCAATCAAACTACGTGGTTGTACTTATGGCTTACAGCTGACTACCAGATACCTGGTATGCCAGAGGAAATATTCGGTGCGGTATTCTCGAAGATCGAACCAGGGTCGTCGCTCTCAATCTCCACAAGTCCCTCGGTTGGATATTCGCTCAACTCTTGCACCATGAACGATGACACCGTGAGGTAGAGTTTGTCTTCTTTTTCAAATGAAAAGCTGCCTGATGTATATTGGTCCATCTTGACACTGGGAGCAACGCAGCCAGCATGCTTGTAAAACACGAGATGAGCTCCTTCGGGCAGCTTCTTCCACGTCGTTCGAACAGCTCGGTCGTTCCACAATTCTTCGAGCGTATAGCATCGCTGAACGGTGTCGATGGTGAACTTGGCGTTGCTACCTCGACTGTACAGCCACACTTCCATGGCCTTAGCGCTGTAGCAGAGCAGCAAGATTGTTATCAGGAACGGGAAGCTCTTCATTGCGGTTCCGGAAGCTACAAGGTAGAAGTCGAAGTGAAGCGCTCTAAGCCCGGTGCTGTGCTGGTGTAGCTCGCGGTACTTGAAAACTATTCAGAGCATTCGAGAGTCCTTGTGCGATCGGTGGCTTATGTGGTGTGCTGTATCCGTCCGTAAATCTACTGTACATAATGGATTCGCCCGCTTTTTCTTATTAAACTGCCAACGCTGTACTACTGTAGCCGATCGTGCGACGTTTTTTCACTAAAGTAAAAGCTGAAAAATCACTCGAACCAGGTCAAACGCAACCTGTGCGGATTGAAAGCTTGGGCTTGTGACAGGATTGCGAGCGGAACTCTAGCGAGCGTGACAGTCTCCGAGACATCGGCCATTAGGGAGCACAGACTGGAGAGATTTATGCCAAATGCTACATGCATCATTCCATACATTGAGTGTGTTCTACTAATTATTTTTTTCATAAATCGCTTAGCTAAATTATAAAAACGTTTCTGTATGACACGCATTCTTTAAACCAAAGCCTGCAGCTTCTTGTTATTCAGCGTGTAAATTGTTCCCAGTGACAATACCACTACGGCGCAGTACTAATCCTCTTTGTTCTACCGCCGTTTAGCGAGTAAGCTTGGGCCGGCAGTTGCGCATTTTCGAAAATACTTGCTCACACTGTTAAAACATCCTATTATGATAAAAGGAGCGAGAATCGTTTAAATCTGAGCTGAGTGCCGCAAAAACTAAGCAGCATACCTTCCAGTGTTTTCATCCACGAGCTCGCAGCTGTACAGTACTTGTTGACGGGCCTGTTACCTGGAAGCTATCTGCAGCAGAATAACACACACATCGATACTGGCTTTATCACCTGCAGCTGAGCAGCAAGCAAACATACACATACTGTACACGCCTTCTGCTGCGCTCGGTAATAGCACGACAAGAATCTCGATGTGGTAGCTTAGTGGTGGCACTTGTCTGGAAATTCATAGCTCTCCTTTTCCACTAATAGGAGTGGATCCAACTCGTCTTCAGGAAGCAAAATATCTTTAACCAGCTCAAGTAACTGAGAGTGACTATCGTGCCCGGCTGGCCCATCTCCCTTTTCATCGATGAAATGCCACCTAGACCCATGCTTCATCCGAACAACGTATACACGTTTATTTTTTTATCCATTCAAAACCATTCGTTTATAGCTCGACGCGTGCCAAGCGCGAGACGTCAATCGTGGCGAATGGACCCCCGGCTCCAGGTAGGGAGGAAGCGGTGCGAGCCGAGTGCCTCGTATAACCAAAGCGACCAGAGTGATCAGAGCGACGTTGACCCTCGCGATGTGAGAGGCTCTCATGAGCACAGGGACGTTTCAATTGGTGATAGCACCAATCAGGTGCCGTCTGAGCAGTCAAGCGACTTCAGCAACGGGTCTGGCCGAACTGTGCTGGGGCCACCTCTCACGCACACGTGCTTCGAGTCGTGGGAACAATTCGACGCCTATTTCGAGGAGTATCAAAGGAACAGCTACCAGGTATGTAATTTTCGCCATAGGGCAGCTCATTTAAAGGTGGACAGATATTTACGCTTCATTCATTTAGCTTTTTCGCATTCGAACCAACAATACAGTTGTGGACCGGAACAAGAAGATCCAGTCAACAAACTCGAGTGCGTCGCTGATTCCGCCGGAGTGGGGGAACTATTCTCAGAAGCTAATCTGTACGCATACTGGCGCATACAAGTCGCGAGGGCAAGGAAAGCGACCACGCCAGGAAACAAGGCCCATGGGCTGCGAGGCTTCGGTACGTATTTTGCCAGTCGGGTGTCAGTCGGGCACCAGTTGGGTCCAGTCGGGTACTGATTCACTTGGGTATTAATGACTACATTGTTAGCCTAGTCAATTCGTGGTGTGCGTTATTTTGTGTGTATTAATAGGTTAACGTCTGCGTTCGTCTCGCAGATAAAAGTAAGAGGGCTTTTGCACTCTTCATCACGAAAAGTAACTTGGAGCATTCCCATAACCTAAATCGGCGGACGTACGAGCAGTATGCATCGAATCGAACCGCCATTGAGGGTGAGGTGTTGGAAACTGTCGACGAGCTAAGAAAGGCGGGTGCCAAGAAAAAAAATATCTTGAAGTTTATCCAGGAGCATTCTAAATGCAGCCCCTCTATTCGCGATGTACACAACATCGTCCAGCGCCTTAAGGCAAGAGAACAATCGTCTAGCACCAGCTCACAAAGATTAATGAAATGGATGGTGGAGTTCTGCGAGGAACCTGGGAATGTTGGCAGAATCTTTATTGACCCAACGGTTGGGAAGGTAAGTTACGCTACATGGAGATATTTTGCTGATGAACTTAACAAAATGATTTCTTGTGGGTCTACAGAAAACGGCTACGTGTATCACGTTCCAAACCAAGTCAATGCGCGAGATGTTCGACCGTTTTCCGGAGGTTCTGCTCATGGATGCAACACACGGGACCAATGTGTCCAAGTATAAGGTCTTCTCGTTTATGGCGCATGATGTCTTTGGTAAAGGTCAGTTTGCTTCCGGGTGCTGGTGTGAAGCGTTACCGCACCCGTTTATACGAATCTAGCCTCGGCATACAAACGGATAGCTACAACTGTGGCGTGTACGTCCTACTTGTATTTGAAATGTTGTGCGGAGCAAATGCAGTGGGAGCCGTTGGCAAGAAGATGCTCCAATGTCTCCGATACAGGTATCTGTGTATGTGCCTTTAAATACATCACTTTTTACATTACACTACACCTTACCAATATAAACACTATCACAGTACGACTCACCAATTTAAACACCATACTTAGACACTTTTTTTTGCTAAGTGTTTCAGTGCCAATGCAAGACACCACACGTGATTTTTTTCTTAAAGTATCAGTTGAGGTTTTTTCTTGGGCAAAAAGGAAGCCGGCTATACGTATAAATCCAGCCACTCATCAAGTGATGACGCGGCACTCTAGCCGGGCTCAGTCGGTATCAGCTGGGCTCAACCGGTCACATTAGCCTCGTCACATTTCACTCAGCCGGGCACAGCAACACGTGCCCAAGTAACTTTTGTGGCCTTTCAAGATGGAATTCAGCAATTCTAGTCTGGAGGTAATCATCGTACTCGTCCTACCTTGCTAAGTAGAACATAATACGTGTTTTATCGGAGAGCGCATGCGAAAACTTCGTCTTGATCCCGTATTTCAAATAAAAATAGCCAGCCTCTCATCCGAGTCGATCTCCATCGTACACTCTGATCCATGCACCACTGTACAGTCATTGTGCTTGGATTAGAGCCAAACTGAATGTAAGTTTGAACCAGGTGGCTGTTCTAAGTGGTCCATACATTTCATTGTTTATTTAATGATTTACCACTGCAACCGCATTTGTACCAATATACCACTGATGGTAATATCACCGCTAATGGATCACCAAATTAATTATTGTTGGGCTGTCTCCTTCCAGCACTAATGTGCTAGTATACTTTTTAAGATTTCTAAAGAGGCCGTGTTTCTATTCTGCCGGCCAATATAAGTAGAAGCCTGCTGGGGCAAGATCATTTTCCCAAAGAAGTTCCGCTTTACGGATGCATTAATTTATTAGTACTTAATATCAGGGGTCGCAAATGGCTATGGAATATGCATGGAAGGCCCCATGCATAAATCCCATAAAAAATATTTGCGACATCAAGATCGATTCAATTATTATCTACGAAATTATTTCCCCCTCGAAAAGCGTTTGCTGCTCCTAGATTCACTTCGGGGCGAGCAACAGCAACTTCGTTTCACAGCGAGAGGTTGAAGCGGAGAATTAACAATAGCCTTAGGTTTGCTGGCAACAGCCCTTGATGATGGTCGCTGTATATTTGACCATTGAGAAAAAAAGACGCTTAGCATCATCCGATGTAGGGGGAATTCACGCTAGGTTGACGTATTTGGAATTCACACACTGCTTGTTTCTCTTGTAGAGAAGCTTGAGCAAAGCTAACCTTGTTTTTCTTGTTGGACTTTGTTTGACACTAGGCTTTTCAAAAATCGCTAGCATTCTCAGTTCACTTGATGTAAGATTGCTCTCAAAGCCGCTTTGTACTTTTACAATGCCATCTTCAAGCGCTGGTGAAGCCACTAGTTTTGCCGTCGTCGATGGATGCTTGGCGCACGCCCAGTCTTCCTCAGACGTTAAGCAGCCTATCAAACAAAATCCGCACACCCCTTAGAAGAACACCATCGAATGCTTATTTCCATGTTAACTGATTGAAACTTCCCCAGATCTTTTTTTCTCGATTGTATTTTTTTTTCACAAGGTGTTGGGAGAAATGCAGCTAAATTTTCGTCCATGTCGAAAAAGTCCGTCATCTGGAGGTATCGATTGATCATGAGATAAGAACTCGACTAACGTGTCGGATTCTTAATCACAGGCATCAACCACTTGATCTTTCTCAAAACTGCCTTCTGCTTGGTTCCTAGATACCGCATAAGCACGGTCACTTTTTCCACCTCCGTATCATACTGAGCAATATAACACTGTACTGCAAGATTTAGTCTGTGGCTGGCAGAGCGAATAAGAGGTAATTTGATCTTGCGTCCGATGCTGCCGTTAACGCCGGCGATGTCCCCAACAATAAAATATGGTTGGCTTCTATCATATTTGTCCAGGGCCTCGCCAAACTGCTTAATTATTGCATCAGCGTCAAACATGTTCTTAATAGGATCGAAGTGTTTCGGGTCAACCCTTCAGCACCGCTATGATAGTGTCTCTGACATCGCTCGACAAGCAACCCATGTACAACAACAGCGTCTTCACTGATATAGTCAATAACTTGGTGCTCTTGCATACGAGTGCATTTCTGTTGCTTGAAGAGCGCATGGACTACGTCTTTGTTAGAAGCCGTGAAAGGCATCTTAAGCGTGGTGAAGACAGAGGCGTTGGTGTCGGATAAGAAATTGAAGAATGAATCGAGGATTCTGGATTACTGTTTTGAGCTTTGTTAAGTAACTATAGTGCCTATTCATTTTTGCTCCGCC